TAATAATTTTATTTTCAAAGGCATACTGACCGAGAAATGAAGCGTACATTTTGGGTGTCTAAACTGATAAAAATAGTAATGTTATTTTTATTGGTAAAAATAATATTTAATGTGATACATAGTGATTGATTGTCTATTAAAGTTTGTCTCTCTGTGTGTGTGTGTGTGTATATATATATATATATATATATATATATATATGTGTGTGTGTGTGTGTGTGTGTGTGTGTGTGTGTGTGTGTGTGTGTGTGAACATAAAAAGTATATGAGTATTATATTTTTGAAACTTACGGAACTTATTGTAAAACTTGATACGAATAGAGGGAAGTTGGTATGTTTAGATAGAAGGAAAAAAATTTGTAGAGAAAGTTTAAAATTTTGAATTTTAACTATTTATATTTGTAAGAAAAAAAATGTATAGAAATTCTAATTTGATAGTCTTAAAAAATGGAAATAAACAAAAATGAAATAAATAAATAAGTTTTTCCCAAAATGGTCCCTCGACTATTCCCAAAATGGTCCCTCGACTATTTTTCAGAGTATATTAGGCATATAATAAGTAAACGGACGAAAATGCCTTTCATTTTAACACTCAATAGACGGAATTTCAAACGGAGGACCGATTTGGGGGAGTTTTTAAAAGTCAAAGGACCACATTGGGTGCAATTAAAAGTCGAAATGCAAAAGTTCAATTGATTGACAATAAGACATTGCCTGAAGCGATAACAAACAAAGACAAATATGAGGACTGCCAAACAAAATTAGTAACATATGCTTTTACTAATATTTTATATCTACATCCTTAAATTTTAATATCTATATTTCTCAAATTAACTAAATACTACAATAACTATATTCTACAACTGACTGCATTCACCAAGTACCTACAACTGAAAAAAGATCCCCTTGCTAGAGAGATGAAAAGTATGAAATTGGAGTATATGGAAATATCATGGAAAGTCCGTGACAATGTAGTAGATTGTGGCATATACTCCATGAGGCATATGGAAACCTACAAGGGGACATCACTAGAACATTGGGCTCCAGGATTCATAGGAGGTTTGGAAGATGTAAGTACACAAATATTCAACTTTGTTGAATATTTTACCCTTCATTTTTAATTACTTTTTCATTATCTTATTTGTAAAATCAATTCATTGTATCGCTGCGAGCAAAATATGCAGCAAACATAATTATGTGGTCAAGGAGTACAAAATTGGCAGCCGTTACAAAAGCTTCAACGGGAAGAAGTATAAAAAAGCAACTGAATCTTATTCTGATGTATGGAGATTTGAACTTGTAATCTTCAAATGTTACTGATGAACAATGATGTACTCAGGGCCGTCCCTGGCCATGTTTAGCCAGGGCATGCGCACAGGGCCCCCAAATTTGGGGGGCCCCAAATGTATGTATGTACTTACATTATTACATACGCTAGCTAGCAACGGTGACTCAGTGAGCATATAACTTTTGTGCCTCCAAATTTTTGGGGGCACTTGTATTAAAATATATATATATATATATATATATATATATATATATATATATATATATTATTGTATATTTATTTTTTATATATTAGTGTTGGTTTGACTTATGTACGAAGAAATTAAGAAGGTTTAAAATTCTAAAAAGCTTACGTTTCTAATTCCAAAGAATTTGATTTACATATAAAGTTATAGTAATATAATTTATAGGAATTGAAGCTGACCTATTTGACTATTGTAAATTTATTATATATAAAGAGTCAAAAATTACTCTTATTCATATTATAATGCATACACGCAAGATTTATATTCACAACGCAGGAATTCAATCTCAGTAATCATTAATTTGAAGTGTGTTATTTGTGTATTTGACATTCTCAATTTTTTTATTCTTCACAGATGAAAGTGTGTGTCATAATGATGCCCCAGAAATTATGCATATATGTTATCATTGTACCTTGCTTCATACTAATATACTATGATAATGATGCCTGTAAATTATTCATACAAGGAGCACATATAAGTATAAGATTCAAGGGTACGGTTAACTTACCTCATGGATTAGTTGTAGATCTCTTCTCCTCAACAACAGCTTGGTGTCCACCAATTGCTACAGGAGAAGCCTAATATGTATACAAGTTAAATTGACATGCTTCTCATAGATAGTATAGATGGTAAAATAAATTCAAGAGAGTGCAAAATTATTGATGAGATGAGAGGAAGGATACACAAATGAAAAATCACAGATGTCATAAACATTCAACAGAAAAGGCCATAATGGTCATCTTGTTTAATTGAAAACATAAATGAGGAAAGTGCTATAAGAATTCAGGAAGAATTGGGCACACCTCACATCAAGAGAATCAACCAAGAAAAATATTACCCTCACAAAAGAAAAAATAAAATAAAATAAAGGAAAAATCAACGATTTGGTTCATCAATTGTTAGCGAAATATCAATGTAGTCCTTTAATCGCGTAATGTTGGTCCCGAATGGGTGGCGAGAAGTCTAGAGGGGGGGGGGAGGGGGTGAATAGACTTCTCTAAATTTTTCAAATTCTTTCGCAAAACACACAAGGCAAATAACACTTTGATAATTTCAACTCTAAGTAACAAGCATCAACAAGATAAACAACTTAGAGCGTGCAGCGGAATAAGTAGCGGTAAAGTGTTATGCTTAATTAGTGCGGTGCTCAAAGAGAGATTCTAAACATGCAATACGTTAGAAACACTTAATATGGTACAAATATAATGTACGCAAAATTTAGCTCGCATGCAAACGTGGGAACTATCAAACCCAGACAGATAAAGATACGCGATAAATCGTAATCGGGTTAGTTCGCAGTTAGAAAAAGCATGCACAAAATATATGAGCAGTAAGTAAATAGAGATAGAGATTTATAGTGGTTCAGAGGTGGTGTAATCCTCCTAGTCCACTCTTCTCCTTTCACTTCAAGGAGGAAATTCACTATTCTTCGATCACTCAGATACAATAGTGAATTAAGTGTCCACCGACACTTCTCCGAGTGCTTCGCACAAAGCTACACTCCTCCAAGGTTTTTCGCAAGCTCCTCTTGTTACTCCGCCTTCCCGAGTACTTCGCACCAAGCTGTACTCCTACACCACGAGAACTACGCACAAAGCTACGTCCTCCAAGGGTTTTCACAAGCTCCTCTTGTTACTCTGCCCTTCACCACGAGTGCTACGCACAAAGCTACACTCCACCAGGGTTTTTCACTCTCTCTAGTTACTCCGCCCTCTTTCTACACTCAGTAGAAGATTTACAATGAAATACAAAGATTTCTCTCACTCAGACTTGAATTCTATCGTGTATGCTCAATATATCACTTCTTGGCTGATTTGAATATTGCTTGCTTTTCTCTTGCTTGTAATTTTTCAGCCGTGTTCAAGTCCCCCGTTTGTCTTCAAGTCTGCTTGGGCATTTTATAGCCAAAGAAAACTATTTGCCCGTTGATCAACTTTCGATCTTGATCGTCCATTTTGAATTGTAGTTGATCTGATAATTTTGTCAACTTGATCTGCAATTGTAGGTAGATGTCATTTCTCCTTTTTGTCAGATGATTTGAATAATTTACCCGTTGCCGTGTCTTGAATTTTGTAGCCTCCAAAATTTGAATAAGTCCGGCGCGGCGTGCTTGATTTTCTTCTCCTTCATAAATGCTCTGACATGTCAAGTTGATCAAATAATTTAACTGCTGATTCTTGCTTGAGTATAAAATTATTTCTCCGCAAATCAGCCTTCTTTGAGCGTCTCCGGTTCCACCGTAAAAACTTGATGTTCAGATGAAAATATATCAGATATTTTCTCCTTCATGATCCTTGTAGAATAATATACTGGAACCTCTGTAAAAACTCCACTGTTGTTCATGGTGAGATGCTCTGTTTCGAATTTCAAGCTTAGTCCACCATACTTGGTATGTTTCTCCATATGGTGCATGGCTTCTGTGAGACTTGTGCATTTACCTTAGCTAGTCTCTCCTTGGCTAGTCTCCATTCTAGCTAGTCTCTTTTTAGAGAGTCTCCATTCTAGCTAGTCTCTCATACGGTTATACGGTCCAAGCTAGTCTTCCACCCATACGGTCTTCGTATACATTGAGCTAGTCTCTCATACGGTTATACGGTTCAAGCTAGTCTCCCATATGAGACAAGCTAGTCTCTCATACGGTGGAGTTAGTCTCTTATACGGTCCAAGCTAGTCTCCAAAGCAAGCTTAAAAATTGCTTCACTTAAGATTCGAACTAAGGATTACTTGGCTTAGCTCAAACGCGTTTCTTCCAACTCCTCTAGCATGGTTCTTGGTGACTTCTCCGCAACATAATTATGTTAAGCTATAATCCCGCTTAACATCGAAAATCAAAATATGATTTTCCAGACTTGTACATGGGTTGCATGATATAGGTGCACCATACTCCGTAGACTCAAACTGACTCAAATAGAATAAAATTGGGGACTACTTGATTTTTCAAAAATACATTCGGCTCATCAAAATTTACAATATATTCCTAACACGTAATCATCGATTTAGTCCCTGGAAATAACTGTTTTTAGTTGATTTGACCTTTCCGACCGTAGTCCGTTGAAAATCCGGCGATAGCTCCGATTTAGCATGGGTAATTTAGTCATTTCAGGGGTAATTTAATCCTCCTTCTCTAACAACCCCTCCTCCTCTTCTCGCCGCAACTCCACAACAGAAACCATGGGTGCCATTCTTGGAAAGCTTCTTCCAATCAAATACCCATCCCAGGAAGCCCGAGACTCATATAGGAAATCGCACAACAAATCATATAGGAAATCACAGAGATTCAGTTTCAATTTTGTTCTTGCGATATATGAGCTTCAAATCACCATAATCTTTTGCTTCTTTCCCCGGCAAGCTTGCAGATTCAGCTGTGTGGGAGAGATGGCGAGGAACGGGGTGTTTTCACAGTGGCGGAGGGCTGAGGGACCTGCCGGATTGTCGCTGCCCTCAGAATCTCACGACGTTCATGTCCTCGCCGTCGACAGGAAAGTAATCGAGAAATTGCTCAAAATTACATCCTGCAAAGGTTTGCGGCGCTCCGGAATTTCGCCCTGAAAATTCGCAACTGCTCTGTTAGTTTCCATGTTCACTGAGATTGTAAGAAAAAAAAATTTGTTTGTTGCAGTGACAGCAGTGGATAGTGGGAGTAGAGCTCTGCAATTCTTAGGATTGGACAAGGAAGAGAGTTCTGTTGGGTTTGATGTAAGTGAATTCCATAAATTTGTTGATTTTTATTTTTTTTCTCTTTCATAATGTAGAATATTTATGGGTTTGGTTTCAGCAAAATTTGATTGATGATTGTTTTGTGGATGTGAATTTAGGGTTTGAAGGTGGATATGATAATCACAGATTATTGCATGCCTGGAATGACTGGCTATGAATTGCTCAAAGCGCTGGTTTCAGTTGCAACATATACAAGAAGACACCTGCTAAAACCAGATCAGATTGATAGTGAAATTACTGAGTTTTCAGAACCCCTAGTTGAAAACGCTGCTAGAAGTGTGGTTAGTTCGGAGATTGTGGGGGAAGAGGGCGTGAGAGGTGATATATTAAAGCCTATGAAGGATCATATAGATCTTGATTCACAGACAAAAAAACCCTCTAGGGGAGGACTTGCAGGGAGCATTTTGTCTACTGTGGCTATCAGTAGGGAATGGCAGAAATGAAGGAACAAGCAGAAGCTGAAGAAACAAGAAAATGTCAAAACTTCAGTTGCTTTGCCTGCTGAGATGCCAACGTCAAAGAAGAACAGAGAGATCCAACCGGAGATGACAGATTACGGGTTCGGTTTGTTGGGAGAATTAGCTTTGATGGTCCGAGGTATTCCTTGGATGAGTCTCGGGCTTCCTGGGATGGGTATTTGATTGGAAGAAGCTTTCCAAGAATGGCACCCATGGTTTCTGTGGTGGAGTTGCGGCGAGAAGATGAGGAGGGGTTGTTAGAGAAGGAGGATTAAATTACCCCTGAAATGACTAAATTACCCATGCCAAATCGGAGCTATCGCCGGATTTTCAACGGGCTACGGTCTGAGGGGCCAAATCAACTAAAAACAGTTATTTTCAGGGACTAAATTGATGATTACGCGATTAAGGGATTACATTGATATTTCGCTAACAATTGAGGGACCAAATCGTTGATTTTCCCTAAAATAAAATAAACCCACTTCTGCATCACCTGGTGCAGGATATCTACAAAGTACTTGTTTCTTTTTCTTTTTAATACAAATGAAAAGCTGTCAATTCAAATGTAAGCAAACATTGAATTCTTAAGCATTTTCATATCTGAATAATCAAGCATATATCTATGAGAAGTGAAAACCAGCAGTAATTTCATATCATAGCTCAAAATTTTCAGGAAATGGAAAAGTATAGGGAAAGAATACCTAATAGAATCAGTATTCTTGTAGTTGCCAAGAAGAAAAACAAACAGCTAAATGCAATTTCTGAACAACAAAGTAAATATCACTGCTTCAACTATCAGGAAATACACCAACATTAGAAAGTCTAGAGATCACAAAGCTAGGAGCACAACCAAACTTGGTTCTGCTAAACCTTTGATCAAAGAGCAATTCTGTAGTAACGTAACGTAACAAACTATACATTCAGCAATGATTTAATTGCTTGTGCGAGAGCCAACTAGGATTTATTCTAGATTTACAATCCTTACATTACCCCTACATAAGCCAAACACTGATCAGAAAGTTCCAACCCATAAAATGTATTTCTTCAACTTGAGATTTGTGACTTGGATAGCACCACCCTCCTATCTTCTAAGACATAATCGTCATATAGGAGACTGAAGGGAAACAGTACTCTATAGAGAAGAAAATTGCATGTTACGTGCAGCAAAAACAAAGCATACTTTGTTCCTCCCAATAAGATTTTTCCGAGGAATCTGTCATTCAGTCCACTAGAAATCCAAAATTTCTCAGAATGTATACAAGTATGTTCTCCATGAATCTCAATTATACTAGTAATATTTTCTAAAAGAAATCAAACTCAAGGTAATTATTAAAATTTTTTGATTAGGAGCCACTGCAGTAAGAGTAGTCATTTCACTAGTTGATGCTGCTGGAAGTGGAATACGCTCAAATTCAACTGGCTTTGGGATCTCAGGAGTGGAAGCACATCGTATCAGAAGTATAGAGTTGTGAAGGGGTGTCTGAGGAGCGGGTGATGGATAGCCATCAAATGAACCCTTCTTAAACCTCAAAAATACACTTCAATTACCTCCGGCGCAAAAAAAGAAAAAAAAAAAAAAAAAAAAAAAAAAAAAAAAAAAAAAAAAAACAATGTTCATATACATATCTACACATAAACATATACATATACTACTGCTAGGACAAATCAAACTAGAAAAGCAAGGAAATAAAAAATAAATAAAACCCTAGCTTCACAAATCTCATGTGTACGTACGTATATGAGCTCATTCTTCCTATATCTGAGGGAAGGGGGAATGAGGTTTTACAGGGAGAGGGGTCATTTTGGAGACTTCAAGATAGTGATCTTTGAGGGAGCGGAGAATAATGTTGTTTACAGCGGTTGAACCACTAGATGACGATGACGACGAAGTCGAGGGGGAGACGGCTGTCTGGCGGCTGCGACGACGGAGTCGAGGGGGCGATGGCGGTGGCCACGAGAAGAAAGAAACGGTGGAGCGGGTGGCGACGGCAGTGGGGCGGTGGGGCGGTGTGGCGTGCAAGACTGGCTGCAGCGGTGTGGGCGGCGGATGGAAGTAGCAGACAACATTTTTTTGTGGAAGAAGATGTGTGTTCTGTGGAGTTTTTTTGTTTGAAGTAGCAGACGACGTCTCGAACTTACTAAATATTAGGTCTGAAACACGTATATGACGTTGGCTAAATATCGACCGACATCTTTTTAAAATTAAGGTTACCACGTTGGTTTTTACTTAGAACCAACGTCGTATCCTTAAAAAAAAAATAATAATAATAGTAAAATATACGACGTCGGCTCATATTGAGCCGACATCGTATAGTATATTTATTTCTTTATTTTTTTAATTAATGAGATACGAAGTCGGTTATAGGTTTAACCGACGTCATAGATTTTAGAATTTCTTTTTATTTTTTTAAGACATATAATGTCGGTTTTATGAAGAAATCGATGTTATAAGTCTTTTTTAAAAAATTATAAATTATTTTAATTTTTTAACGTCGGTTTATTTAAAAATCAGCGTTATATTGCCAACATTGTAAATGATTTCTGTAGTAGTGTGTACAGAATTATATAATAAAATACACATAAAGTCCTAACAGAATACACATAAAAACAAGTCTATTTAATATTCAGTTTATACCTGTCAAACTCTAGTTCCTCTGGTGTTGGCTGTGGCAGTGGGTCCTTTGATCCTTTAGAAATATCATCAACCAAGTTCTTTAGCATTGTTGCAATGGGGGTCAACGGGGTTGATGGCAACAATACTGTTGGTTGTGCTGTTGTTGGAGTTGATGGTGGTGGTGGTGCTGGCTCTGCTGTTGCTGATTGTCGCTCTTTGGTAGGTGCATTGGGAGTAGTAGCCTCACGTGGTGCCTGTGGTGGTGTTGGGTCAGTAGATTAAAAGAAGGGGCAGGGAAATCAGGAGTCGTGTTCATGTTCATCATTGTGGCAATGAAAGCTGCTTCAAGCTCAGCAACTGCGTCTAGAAAGCTCGGTTGGTTGAACAAATCGTCATCCCTCATCAAGGTCTCTGGTGGGGTTGGATTTGGGCTTGATGTGATGTTTTCGAACTGGAAGAAGTTACTGAATACATTTTTTATTATTTCCGTAATAGAGTTCTGTGTCCCAATCTCTGCCATAATCTCTCCAAACTCTGCAGCAAATGTCATTTTCTTCAAAGCCTCCGTCACTCTTTCAACTGATTTTGGTTGCACAGGTGCTTGAGTCGGGGGCTCCCCCAGCTGTGTTTTCCTCTCAATCACTTTGCCATGTCCAGATCCCCCTAACTTTCTCTCCACAACAAATCTTTTCCTCACTTCCTCTGTGGTCCAAGGAGTGATGGTGGGACAAATTTTTGTCACAACTTGTCCTCTGACCTGGACCCTGTCTAGGTATGCAAGCTTTAAAACACACACACACACACACACATATAAGTATCATTTTTTACAATGCAATGTACAGAATTTTATAGTGGAATACACATAATCCCATAACATAATACACATAATCAGAAGTCTAAAGAATATCTTTTATGTATGTTAGGATATGTAATTGAATTAATGATATACAGAATCTTATATCATAATACGCATAAACTCTCAACATAATACACATAAAGATAATTCTAAGAAATATATCTTCTATGTTTTGTTGAGGTATATATGGAATTGAAATTCTTAATATACAGAATTTTATGGTGGAATACACATAAATTCTCAACATAATACACATAAAGATAATTCTATATACACATAAACACAAGTTTATCATTAATACATAGAATTCATAAAAAGAATACTCATAACTTCATACCGTCAAGAAAGTGACAGGTCCAACAAATGATGAATCTCTTTTACGCTTCCATTCTTCAGCAGTGTCAAGGAGATTGTTGATTGTGTAACCGCACCAGTTGAGATCCTTGATTTTATTAACATCAAGTAGTGAATAGAGGATCTTATAGTTACAACATGTGTTCTTGAATCCCTTAATTAGTGTGGTGACAACAAAGATTACAAAATCCATTTTAAACATGTCTCCATGATCACCCATTTCCACTATCTTGTTCAGCATTTCACCAGTTGATGGTGTTCCCTTATTTATTCCCCACCGAGCTCTCTATTCAGCAACCGTTTTATTGAACTCAGCAGTTGCATTTGCAGCAGTACCCTCAATAACAGGTAAATTCCTCCTAGGGATATGTAACACCCTCGAATTTCAGCATAAATTAAAACCATTAAAGCTTACAAAATAAAAACAAGTCTATTATTAATACCCGAATAAGCAGAAGTCGAACATATTAGTGTAGGGGTGCTATGCCACATCTAAGCTTGAGAACCTAGATGCACAGGCTACTAACTAACTAAACATAATCCATAAACAATATCTGAATACAAAAGCGGCTCACAGGCCATCAACTAAAGTTACTACTATCTAAATTAGGAACTGCAACTCCGACTAGCGCCCTCACGAGCCAACTAATCTGTACCTGAAAAATATGTGGTGTAGCAACCGTTAGCGAATAATGCTAAGTAACCCACTCCCACCCGTTGAGTACAATAAGTATAAATATAGGAAAACCATTTTGAGACTTGAGAATACATAATTATAGTCCTAACAACTCTAGCTTTAAGATCGAGATCATGACTTAACAAGGACACACGCACAACGGTATAATTAGACTCAAGGCATAACAGTACTAATGACGCTATAA